GTTGTAAACTTTTAATTGGAATTGACAGGTTTTTGATAATTTTAAATGAATGTCTTTAAGACAAGAATTCTTATCTTATATAACTTGTTTGATTAGAGATGTGACAAAAATTAGGTGATTTTTTAAAGAAGGAGGTGGTAAAAAATTTAAAATTATATATAAAGACCTGATCAAGATATATAGTAAGAGAGGGTGAGGAGGATAAGCCTTTGATAAAAAAAAATCAGATAATAAATGATACTGCCCTTACTATATAGTATCTTTCTATTTTGCTTTTTATATAAAATTGCAAAATTCAGTTTTAACCCTCATAAAAAGAATCTTAAACATCATTTGATTAAGATTTGTTCAAACTTTAATTTCTTTGAATAATATAAATAAATTAAATTAATACTAAACAGATAAAAATTAGATTATTAAATAGATTTTATTTTTTTAAAATAAAATAAAATATATGTTGCTACTCAATTGATTCATATAATTGATATAAAGATTATAATACTTTCATATCTAATATTTTATAGTTAAACCAAATACAAATATTTGCATATAATCTAGAATACAAACTTTTTATTCAAGCATCTGGCTTGATTTTATTTTCACTTATCATATTTTTTATAAGCATTGTTGATTATTACAAAAAACTTTAAAAAAATTTTCTTTTCTAAAATAACCAATTCTAGCTTTTTAAATTCTTGTTCTTAAGTTTTCATATATTAAACAACCAATTTGAGATTGTGTTATAATATTTAATTATAAGACTATTGCTATAATGATAGATTAGTTAACAATAATTAAAAAAAATTATGAAAACTACTTCATAGCAATAAACAAAACCTTTTAAAAAAGTGTATTAATTATGATTAGTATCTAAAACAAGAAAAAAAAAATTACTTAACTTAATAATTTAAAGTTCCTAATAACAATCAAATGAACAATAGAATATATATATATATATACCAATCTTAATGTGAAGTGCAAACCTTATTTTCTCTATTTTTTGAAAAAAAAAATTCTGAAAGTTATAACCTTTCTGATCCTGAGTATAACAATGATCCTAAAAATTATAATAATTTCAAAAATTATAATAGTTCTGAAAATTATAATAGTCTACTTGGTGATAGTATTTTAGATTTAAATAATCAGATTTCTCAAAAAACCAATATTGATTTGCTATCCTAACGTAATTATATACTAAGAAGAAAAGTCAAAAATTCAACTATTTGGCCTTATTTTAACACTAATATGACTACTCACCCTAGTGCATCAGTATGTATATGATATAATAAAGTTTTTTCAAGCAAGACCGGAGTTTCATTCTTGTGAAGATATCTAAATAGACACAATATTAATGCACTAGCAAGATGCCAAATTACTCTTAATTTTTTTAGAACTAACCCATATAATAATAATAAACAAAAGAAAGAGATAAGAAATTAATTATCTAGATCATCACAGATTAACAACTATTTACTGTTGTTGAAAATTAGTATTTTAATGAGTTTATTAATTTTCTTGACCTATGTTATATAGCACCAACAAGACAAACTGCAAAAAAAATGATAATAGATAAATTTGAAATTAGACGAAGTAAATTAGTTAATGATATTGCAAGAATTTTTGAAAAAGTTTCATTGATTGCAGATATATAGACATCTTAAAATTTTAAAGCATTCCTCGGCATTACTATTTACTATATTGATACTGATTGGAAAATATGTTATTTTCTTTTAGATATCATTCTATTTACTGATAGATATAAGATATAAATATGGCAGTACTATTAAGGGTAGGTATTTGTTTACATGTTTTTTTTTATACAATGTGCAAATAAATATGCATGTATAACCAAATATACAATTATAATTGGTTAATTTTGCAAATCATTAAATTTTGATTAGTTTATTTTCATGCTATACGCAAACAAATAGTAAACAAATACCTACCCTTAATAATCTTCTTATTGAATTTAATATCAAAAATAAAACATTAGCAATTACTATAGATAATAAGTCTGCAATAATTGTTTGTAAAAGGTTAATTGCACAAGATTTGCAATATGAACTTAATAATATTAGATTTTTTCATTACTGCTATGCGGCCCACGTACTCAATTTGGCTATCAAACAAGGGCTTGAAATAGTCAATCTTTTAATAAAGAAAGTTTGAAAGTTAATATTAAAAATCAAAGTATCTACCCGTTTTTGTAATAATTTATGCAGATTGTGTAAGCTTAAAGGAATTTTATATCTTAAACTCAAGTTGAATATAGAAACTAGATAGAACAGCACCTACTATATAGTACAAAAAATGCAAAAAATGAAAACAGCTCTTAATTTACTTGCTGCAGACCATTATTTTATCTATTTACTATATCTGAGTGTTGATAAACAACAAAGATTAAAAGTAAATAAAATTTTATAAATTTAAATATATGTCTTTTGTTAGACTATATAAAGTTAATTTTTTGGTTCTCATAATATAAAATTTGAAAAATACTCAGTAATATAACTTTTAATTTTATTTTCAAAAAATTTTTATATATAAAAATCATATAAAAATTTTTATAAACTTTTAAAAAAACTTTATCCAGATAGTAAATATAGTTGAAATTTTTTTTAAGAATTTTGTAAAGTTTGACCTGGCTGGGTTATAAGAACCAAATTATTAAATTTGTATGGCTTTATAATAAAGATTATAATAAAGTATACAAATTCTAATAAAAATTCTCAAAGTCTATAATAATAAAAAATCTATACTGTATTATTATAAAAGTATAACTTGTATAAATCAATAATCATAATATCAATTTTAGGATGTGCTTATTTTGTTAGAACCAATTGAAGCTACTACAAAATTGTTCTCTACAATATTATATCTGACTATAGATAACATTCGTCTAGTATTTTTTGGTATTCAAGATTTTTTAGATAAGTATATTGGACAAGAAGAATTTTCTTAAAACATTGTTACTGCTTCTATTCATCAAAAAATAAATAAATATTGGTATATTATGGATAAATCTTCTATCATTTCTGCTATTCTCGATTCTTATAACAAATTAAAAATATTCAACAAAACTGAAGTCATTAATATCAAAAAGGCAGTTCAAGAGATTATGAATCAATATATAGACTACCAAATTTTACCTGCTCTTAACAATACTAAAGAAAGTTAAATTAAAACCACTCAAAAATTTTTTTGGGGTTTGTGAAACAAATTAGAGATAGAAAAAATGTCTAATTATATAATCAATAATTTTCTTGAGAAATCCTCAACTACAAATACTAATGAATTGAACCTTATATTATGTTCGAACCTATTGAAGAAGATACAGTCTCATTGGATTAGTGGAAAGCTAATAAAAACACTTACTCTATTCTTTCAAAAATTGCATCTGACTATTTAAGTATTCAAGCTACCAGTATAGTATGCGAGTAGGCTTTCTCTGTGGCTAGTAATACTATTTCAAGAACCTGCAATTAATTTTATTCTGAAATAGCAAGAATATATTTTTGTGTTAAGAGTTAAATCAGTAATGAGGTAGATAAAATTTGAATAAAAACAATATTGATAGTTCAATACTTAAAGTATTAAAAGATTAGCTTGCACAAGTATTTAAAAGTATCAAATAAATTTAGAAAGAATCTTTAAACAGCTTTAATAAAAATACGTATTAGTATCACTTGTTAGCTTTAAAGTTATCATCTAAAATATATAATGTATAATGATATGATAATCTAGATTATACATTCCTATTGGCTGAGATCAACTGGTTCAAAATCTGGTCTAAACTAAATCTAAACCTTATTAAGACAAGTTTAGTAAACCAGTTTATAGACTCTAATCCAGTTTATAGTCTACTTCTGGACCTGGTCTTTTAAACCAAAACCAAACCAAGATAGACCATAATATCCCTAACTAGATACCAACTCATACCTTATTTATCTCCAAATTTTCCTGTCAATAACTTTAACCCTTATATCAAAAACCTGATTATTCTTTCTAAATAAATCCTGCTACTGACACTACTAAAGCTTTAGAAGATTTTAGATCATCTGTAGTTTTGATATCCCAAAGTGAAGTTAACCCGTCCAATTTTGCAACCTATCTGATTTACATTATACTACCCTTTATTTCCCAAAGTAATAGAAAATATCCCTATTCAATCTACCTTTGTTCTTCCTGATTACGATAAAAATATTACTCAAATTCAATTTTCTTCTCAAATAAATACTTCTAATTTTCTCTTTACTGATATTAATTTATAATTTATTCTCACTTTTCTCTATATTGCAACTAACCTTTCTTGAGCCCAACCTCACCTATTCACTTAATTTATTCATTATATTATACCTACTAATATATCTACTATTACTACTAACTCTCCTCTTGCATCTGAAGCTTATCTACAAGCTAATTTAGATCTTAATACTATTCTTTTAAATACTTCTCCTCAACTCTGACAACAACTTCTTACTATACTATTATTAATAGAACCAAATCAAGACCCTTATCTTATTGTTGATATATCAGAAGAAAGAGAAGAAGAAGCTAATAACCAAGCTTCTGAAGCTGAAACAAATTCTACTATAATTGACAAAGAACTGAAACAAGAAGAAAATATGGGTGATGCTGTACTTAGAGCTACTGCTAAAGCAATGAATGCTGTTACTAATCCCTTAGAGCATGGTAGTGAAAAATCTCTGATTAAAATTAATTTTTATCATGGTAATGAAATCCAAGACTCTATAACTTGGTTAGAAGAATTTGATTATGCTGCCAAAGCCAATCACTAGAGCCCTACTTGTCAATTAAAATTAGCCGCTACATATATAAAGAATAATATTCAAAAATAGTTTACTAGTTTTGCTAATACTTCTACTTACTATCACCATACTTAACATGACCAAGTAGTAAATAGCAACTGTATTTGAAGTTTTACCCACATGTTTAAAGTAAAGTTCAATACAATTAGACAAAAAGCTACTTGGCAAAAACAGTTTTTTAAAATAAAACAATGAATAGACATAGTTAATATCTATATTAGTCATATTAAACAACTTCAACTTCAAGTAGACCCTGCTAATAGTATTCCTAGAACCATAATAGTTTAATTTTTTATCTAAGAATTGTGACCAGAATATACTATGAATGTGCAGGCTACTGAATCTAATAATTTAAACTATGCTATAGAAAAGGCATGTAAATAAGAAACTGGATAAGTTATAGCCTTTAAAAATAATACTAATAGCAATAGAAATGACCAAGCTATATCCTGCTTTACCAAACAAATTGCCAAGCTTAATATCAATCTTGCTAAAAACAACCTGCTACTCTTGTTTATTATTCAAAAAACAACAACTCCTTTTGCTAAGATAATAATAATAACAATAACAATAATTTTCAAGACAATATTTGCTACTACTATGGTAACCGAAAATATTTTATTAGAGATTGCAGTATATGAAGAGAGAATAATAGAAGAAACTTACATGATTATCGATCCTCTAGCTAAGATAATAGATATTTCTCTAGAAATAATCGATTCTATGATAGATTTAGATCTCATAATAGAAACAGATCCAGAAACAGAGATTATGATTGAAGAAACAAATCTAGAAGCAAAAGTTAATCTCATGATAGATATCGCTCTAATAATTATTCTTTCTATGACCAAAACTATAGGTCTAGAAGCCAATTCTTTATCCCTTATTCTCGAGATGTATATACTGCAGATATAGCTAATAACTATATCTACAAACAATTTGAACAATTCTTAGTCAATAAATCTATTAAAACAGCCTTAGCTAGTTATTTTACAAAAAAATCTAGCATATCTAACTAGACACAAACACTAACTTATACTACTTCTGTTAAGTGTAATATTAAACTTAGAAACAGATTCTACTATTCTATCATTGATAGTAGAGTTACAATTAGTATGATCTCTTATAAAGCTATTAAGAAACTTGGTCTAAAGATCGAAGCCCCTCTATAAGCTTAATTGTATTAGCCACTAGACCCTCTACTAGATCTCTAGAAATTATTAAAAACCTCCCAGTAGAAATTGAAGAAATCACTATCTCTCTTGATATAAAAATAATGGACGCTGCATCTTATTCCTTGTTCTTAAGAAATGACTAGTCACAAAAAGTTGAAGCTAGTTATAATTAAAAAAATAAGACCTATACAATTAAGTAGAATAAAAAGAAGATCTATATTCCAACTACCTATGAACAACACCAACCCTTACCAGCTTAACCAACAGTAACTGATGAAAGAGATCTAGCCCAATTTGAATAGAAATATCTTGTCCCTAAAGAAGCCTATGCTGGTAACCCTGTAGTAATTACTAATAAAAACCCATAGATTACTCAGACCTCCAGAACCAGACGTAAAGTCTAACAAATACCCTCTACTAGAATGATTTTACTTATTTGTGCAGGTAATACAAACCAAAAAAGGAAATTGAATTTTGTAAATAAACTAAGTATATAAAGATAGAAATTTAGGATTAGAGTATTAATATTAGAGGCTATAACAATAGACTATTGCTCATTATATATAAAATTTTGTTTCTGAAATTTTTAATTAATACACCAAGCTCAATTTAAATACTAGTTTTTGAGTATTTTTACTTTTTTCTTCTTTTATGTGTGTTTAGAATTCATATCGGGCTGATCTGGAACAATCAAATTTTATACTCTCTGATTGGCTATTTTCTTTCTAGGGGTTTGTATTACCTGCACAAATAAGTGTATGCTACTAGAACATGCCAAGGATACAATTCTACAACCTATCTTTTCACTGACTGCCTTTATAATTAATGTTATCACTATCACAAATATGGATATATCTCTGCTTATTGCTCTTACCAAGCCTCCAAGCGATACTTTTGTAAAACTTGTGCTCAATCAGAATATTTTTATAAAAACTGCTTCTAGAATAAATACTATCAATATGATTAATATGATTATATTACGGTAGTATTGATTGCCCTTTTGCCTCTATCAAGTTGGATAACTAGAGATACAGATATGAATGTTCTTTTGATAAAGTAAATAAACAATAGCAAAGCTACTACTCTTGCAAAAGAGTTAACTATTGTTGTCAATGCAAAGTACCTCAGAAACCAGAAGACCTTAGATTGCTAGACTAGACTCTAGTTTGTAAAGCCTGTTGAACTAACTTTTATCATAAATTAGACTGAGATAATCTAAGAAGTATTGAATATTTTACAAATAGTGATAGATAAGAAACCCTTACTAAATACCAAGTTTGTAGTAAGGAATTTATTAGATCCAAAATGTACAAACTAGACATTGTAAAAGAAGATACATGGTTTTGTGACTTGAAGCACTTGTATACTTACAAGGTTGCTAAGGATATTGAGTAGAACCCTAACTATAACTTGTAGATTCGAGTTAGATATTATACCGAATCTATCTGAAATACTGGATATGTCTATGATTTTAATCAAAGCCAAATCTATTGTCTAGCCCAGATTCAACTAGGTGAAAGTAGTAAACAACTTGCTAGTACTTTTAAACTCCTAGCAACAGATAAAGAAATCAATCTTATTATAAGAGTTCTTTATATTAAGTTAATCTTAATTGAAGCAGATGAATTACAAAGAATCTTAGCTGAATCATTTGATACTAGCCATTTTGACTTTGACTAATAAAGAGCTATAGAAAATCTACAAAAAAATTTCCAAAGAACTGTAGGATTTTGTAAAAATTGTCTTATAGCAAAAGCTAAGACTAAACTTGAACAATATGATCAGTATTGTCAAGAGTATCATGATGAACTTCATCTACTTTTTTTACTATCAGAACCAGAAACAGAAAAACTATCTTCAAATCGAACTTCAACTCCTTTTCCACCTAACAATGAACTACAAGAACTATCTTAAAATCTAACTCTATCTATTATTTAGTCAAATGAAGAGACACAAGA